TGCAGGATAAGGATGACTTCAAGGGGTCATAACCTTTATACCATTTAATGCATAATGAATCGAAGGACAATATTATATATGTTGAAGGGGAGATTTTCAACCATTTTCAAGATACAATGTATATGATCAATTGAAGTTTTAGGGGTTGGGAATGACCTATGGGGGTCATGACCCCATATATCCTATTTAGTGTGTTATAATACAAAGATGACTTAGGGGCTTTTGCTTTAATGAAAGCTATTTTATTGTTTCCGGTTCCAAAAATTTGAGTTTCCGGAATGACCCCAGGGACTTGCCTCATTGTATACTTTGTATAATTGTGGCATTCCAATGATCTTTGACCCTTTTCCAACTATAGGTCCCTAACCATTTTCATTTCTGATTATTTTACCCCGTTCTAAACGCCCGAGTGGCGCAGTGGTTAGAACGTCTGCTCTAAGAGTCGTGGAGTAAGGAGTTGATCCTTAAGTCGCGGGTTCGAATCCACTGCGGGACGTGGAGACTAGTTCTTTGGATGAGACTGTATTTAAACCGAGGTCCCGTGTTGCAGTAGTTGTTGGCACGAAAAAAGATCCCTCACTGCTCAATGGCCCTAAGTGATGACCATAGGTTAAAATTTGCAGCCCTCCACCGGCAAGTGGTGGCGTCTCCATATGAGTGTAAAATTCTCGAGAAGGACGTTAAACAACAAACAAACCCCGTTCTATACTAAAAGTTTAAAATAATATATTCATAATGTACTTACCGCCAGTTATAGGTACTGTTAACTTGATAGAATAATAAATTCATTTAAAACACACACTAAATATTATAATCCCAGTGGTAATAATGATGTACATACACCATGTGCAAAACAATAAGGATAACGGTAAAAGTAGTGCTCGCAGTGTGACGTAATTCCACGCATAGTCTAGAAATTTTCCAGAAAGGTGTACATTTGTAAAATTTATATTATAATTACATACAATTTTTTTTTCATAAGTTTGTGTTATCTATTCTAAATATGACAGGAAAACGGGTGAATCATGGGTGGGGGTTGATTTTTGACAAAGTTGATTGGGATTTGGAAAGAGGTTCTCCGAGTCCTACCCAAATACTGATAAAAAATTTGCAGAAGTTGTCATTTTGGCATCTATTTTTTTTTAAGTTCATCAAAAAAGCTATGCACTAAAATTATGATATTTGTTCAGTTGTTTTGATAATAAATTCAACAAGTTCCAATTATGGGTAGAAAATTAAGCACTTTTTTTTAAACAAATCTTTCAAAAATTCTCTCTTTATAAGAATTTACATTATTAGGTAATATCAGACTGGTAATGAATTATTTACGAGGGGTTATCAAAAAGTTCGTGGACTAGCGTCATAAAATTAAAACCGCTTTAGGTACATCAATGAATTTTTACACATTAAGTTAGCATCATCTTCTCTATCTATAGAATAAACCATAAATCATAATTTTTATTTTTTAATAAATTGTTAGTGTTTTTGTAAGCAAAGGTATGTCCAGGCGGCGCAACCTCTAATATGACGTTTTTTTCTACCTGATTGTAACTGAGAAAAACTCTTTAGATATGGGTATTTGTCATCAAAAAATCTCGTTAATTCAGGCATGTGGTACGACACATTTGTTCAGTAAAATTTGCAATTTTTACCCCATTCTGTAATTTCTATGAAATTTTATCGTAAATTTTATATGGAGTGTCCAAACAATTATGGGCTTGAAAATAACGTCAAAAGGGGGGAGGGGTTTCTTTTTCAAACACTCTATAGAGTTTCGCTCCTGGAAAAACTGGTATTGACCTAAGGAATGTTAAACTGGCTACAGAAAAATAAAATGCATCCAGAGTACTTGTTTTTTAATGCCCAAAAAGATTCAGAGAGATGAAATATGCACAGTTAGTGTCGATTTGTAGTCAGGGTGTCAAAAGTCAGTCACGTCGAAAAGTGACGTTGATCATGTGTGGTAGAAATTGAACTCCAACAAGCTAAGTATTCTGGCATAATCAAGTGAGGATCTTTCCCCATATAAAGATCCATTTACAATATTATATGCATTGAAAAAAGCTGCTCATGACATTTTAAATTCATATAAATAAGACGGGTTTAAGTCCTTACTTAACTCCAGGTAATCTCATCAAGATAAGTGTATGAGGTAGAGAGAGCGGACATTAAGAAACAATGACGTTAAGCGGACGTCATGACACTAAACGGCGACAGCGCCGGGTGATCACATAAAGTCTTTTTAATTTCAGAATAATTTGGCAAATTTTCAACGTATCAAGCTAAAATTTTCAACATTTCTTAAACTTTTGTTGTTTTATGTTCCGCATAAATTTTGTAAGCAGAGACTAAATATTATTAATTTTATCGCGTCAGTCCACGAACTTTTTGATAACCCCTCGTACATGCACGGATCTAGAGGGGGGGATCCGGAACCTATACACGGAATCTATATACGAAAGCAACTAAAACGAAAAATTACCTTGGACCCCCCCCCCCCCCAGAAAACACCGACCCCTGTTCAGTTGGTATGAAAAGTTATTCATATGAAGCTTAAAAACTGAGCGGCCAACCCTCCTCTTCACCCCACCCCCCCAACCACCACCACCATGAAATAGGTTTTCACATTTGGGAAAGGAGTTTAAGTGATTTTTTTTTCTTTTTTTTCTTTTTTTTTTACATAAGAGGCCCATATAGGCTGCATGTTCACCTGAGTATTTTATGCTTGATTTAAATGTTGCTTCTTCCCTGGTTACCAGAATTTGAAGGAGAGCAGTCAGAGCACATTTCAGGGACGTAGCAACGTTTTTGAAAGTGGAGGGGAGGGGGGTAGCCAGAGAAAAAAATTTCAACTTACCCGAAAAAATTTGACAGGCCAAAATTTTTTTTTTCAAAACGCAGAAATCCTTCTCGGGGTGGGGAGGGGGGGTGGATTCCAACTTCTTTCAGTACCCCAATTTTATATATACACTACTACATTACCTTTATTTGACTATAATGCAACAACAAGTGGGGGGGGGACCACCCGTTCATGAACATTTTCAATAGTAAAAAGTTATGTTTCGAAAAAAAGTGGGGGGGGGGTCCCTCTGCCCCCCCCCCCCCCCCGATGCTACGTGCCTGCATTTAGAGGCAAACACATTAGTGCGGGTATTACTGTCTCATGACAGCATCTAGTTTTTAATTTATTGTGGGAACTGTTTGTAAAAAGTGTTAAAAAGTCTTATGTTTTGATTTTATAGACTTTTGAAATATTTGGTGATTTTGAAGTTATTAAAATTTCTTTAGAGTTTTTGAGGATCCAAGTTTGATTTACACAACTTCTATAATACGCTATAGCACATTACTTTTGAAGTTTTTCCCTTACAGCAGTAACTATTTTTGTAAGAAGTAAAGATAAGAACTTGGGAGACCATTGGCCCATGAATGTATATTTGTTTGTAATGATTTTTATGAAATTTAGGAATCCAATACAGGTAGTGTACGTGTAGATCGAACTCACCTCGGATAACTGGTATGAGAAAAGTATGAAACAGAATGTCACTCAAATATCTGACAAAGTGCTTATCTGTTTAAAGGTTTTGATAATTCATATGTATCCCTTATGAAATATATTTAAAAAAAAAAAAACAGTTCTACTGTATATTTGTCATAAAATGTTTCATTTTTGAAATTTACGGAAGCCGGTTGGTGCCAGGTAGAAAAAATATTTTATCTGGCGGCCGCCAAATAATTATCTGGCGGCCGCCACATAAATAACTGGCGGCCGCCAGATAAAAAGATCTGGCGGCCGCCAGAAAGTTATCTGGCGGCCGCCAGATAAAATATTTTTCTACCTGGCACCTACCGGCTTCCGTAGAAATTAAAACAAGAAAGAAAATAAAAACTTTTTTGGATATAAGAAATTCAAATTCATACCTCTGCAGTTTCCATTAGAACAAGAACAATACTAGTTTTATAGGGATAGTACTTATCAGTAAATGTCAGTACTTGTCTATGTTTTTTTTTTTCAGAAGAGACAGTAAACGGGTCACTAATTGTTTATCAGCACCGACTAAGATAATCAACACTTTTTTAAAAGTTTATCAGCACTAGTAATAAAAACGTTAGTAATTGTTCTACAGCAAAGACAGTATATTGTCAGTAATTATAATTGTCTACGTTTGTCAATAAAAAATGGGAATGTCAATACGTTTTGGCTTTATAGTGTATTTTGATAAAATAAATATATTGAAAGGAGAAAGCAGTATTTTTTTTTTACATAGATTAGGCCCCTAGGCTTACCATAATGTTTATAGGGCTTCATGTTTGCTCCGATCTTAATTACTACTGTACAATTAACATTGTACAGACTGATGGGAGCACGGACAAATACATTGTTATTTATGTGCAAAAATCCCTTCTTTCCAGCAAACTTTTTTTTTCTTGTGTATGCTTCAAAGTGCGAAAGTTAAGACAAACAAGATAAGAGCTACCTATAAAATATTGGGCAATTTATAGTTCTTATCAGTCCTATTGAAGAACTGGAAATGTTGATTTTACTGAGTCTTCTGCTATACCATCAAATCTGCTTTGCTTTTTAATATACTGATGAACTCCGCATGTTAACGCTTAGAGTGGCCCTGTTGGAAAAAACTATTGGAAAAGAACAGCTGAATTCAGTACAAAGAGAATTTCAGTCAATGAATTTGGAGGTAAAAAAACATATTCCATATCCAAATTTTAGCAAAGCGGAAAATAATCTACGTATTCAGGAAAATAAATTACACGTACTAGGCAAGGACACAAACGATTCAAAACTTAAAACTTGTGATGATCGAATTCTGACTTTAGAGAGAACTGTTCGTGAATTTTCAAAGCTTGTCAAAGGTCAGGCAAATAATATCCAACATATTCAAAGACTTGAAGCGAGAGTTGATGAGCAAGAAAGAGTCATTTCCGAACTAAGAAAAATCATTTCAAAAAATGAAATTCACGTTCAAAAATTTGAAAATGAAGAAATGACATCTAAGGGCAAAGAAATTCAAGAATCTAACACATCTCAACCTGATGAATCTGGAATATCCGAAATCAGAACTGGAGATACCAATGAGAAAAACAGCCATTTCAAAGGAAATATCAACAAAAGTAAGACAATATCATCATAACTTTCAATTTTATTTTAATGAATTAACAGTAGAATTTATATAACTGCGTGTTCACAAATATTATCATAGCGTTCCATGATATTCTGATGAATTAACAGTAGAAAAGGTATAAAGTGGTGTTATCAAGGTAATGAGTCTTTATTATTAAAGTTGATAATAAATAAAACTTTCTAAAAGAGAAATTTCTGAAGGCATTCCTAGAGCCTGTAAGAACACTTTGTTTCTATAAAAACATGAAACATTGCTCTTCTTATCTCTGATAAGATAGGATAATCACTTCTGATTAGTTAATGATTATAAGATTATAGCAGACTAACTTCGCTTCATAGAACTAAAATCATAAAAATATATCGAAATCTGAACAATATTCGTGTAATTGTTCTTTTTATATTCTTTAATTTTATTTCTTTGAAAATTTCTTCAAACCATGAGAAAATTCAGATCATCCTGTTCTCTAACGATGCCAGCGAACAAACAAAATAAGGTGATTTTTCCATATATATTGAAACTTGTATTTATCTCCACCTTCTCTTATGCCACATATTTTTTTTCAACAGATTAAATACTGAGAATTTCGAAACTCAACAGAGAAGATCAAGAGATCCTTTATCTATAGCCTCTGTCTAAATAGAATAGTTAGACATGACACAAGATTGAATATTATAGTGTAATGATTTAACCAGCTTTTAATTATTGTTCCAAAAATAAAAATGAACTGTTTCAACTAAGATAATATTCTAAGTTGATATCAAAATCTCGCCATATTCTTAGCAATAATATTCAAGACATTCCCTTACATTCTCTTAATTTCATTTTGAAACTGTAAATTATCTTCTTATTTTCATGAACAAAGTACTCAAACTCATCCAAATTAGCTAACTGTAATCTGTGTCTATGTCGAGTGGCGACAAAATCATTCATACAACATACAGTATCACCCCCTGGAATAAATTTTAAAATTATAATCAATAAATTTATAATTCATGCCTCCTTAATGGTATTTACTTTACTTCAGAAGTTCATTTTTGAAGGGTTTTTTTAAATTCATAATCAAGTTGTAATTCTTTCAGAGAGAATGCTTTCCCCTGTGACAACAACACCTTATCCTTCTAACATGGTTAAACCTATTGCATTTTACGCCTATATGTCGAAGAACACACCAATAATAACTATTCAGCATCCCTTGTCGTTCGATGTCGTGAAAACCAATCTTGGAAATGGGTACCATTCTACAACAGGGGTATTCATGGTGCCGGAAAGCGGGGTTTATGTATTTACTTGGACAATCAGAGTTCGTTATAGTAGTTATCACTCAACACAACTGATGGTTAATACTGATGAACTGGGAGTAGTTTACCTAAGTGTCGCCTCTGGTTCAGACGTTGGAGTTACAGGGATTGTTGTGGCGCATGTCAATAAGGGAGATGACATCTACGTCAGGACACATGCTTCGTGGAATAATGGAAATATTATTAGTGACAATGCAGGAAGATCGTCATTTGCAGGATGGAAACTATTTTAAGGATTGGATTCAATATCTTTAGAAAATCAAAATCATTCAATTTGATTTTCAGACTTTATTTATAAACTGACCTTTTTATGTATAAGGCTAATAAGAAATGTGTGGATTTAACGCCCTATTTGGTTTTTTTTTTATCTAATATATAGTAATGTTGAGCAATAGTGTTGCTTCCAAAATTATGAAATTCAGGCAAACTGTTGTTATAGTGGTGCTCATTATTAAGTGAAAATGCATCAATGATTTTAATATCCTCTTCTTTGCTCCTTGGCGTCTAGAAGGCAAAAGGAGTACAACGTTGTAATGAATTCTATATATCTTGTTGTTAAATTAATTTGCATTCAACTAAGAAGTTATTCCCATTTGCTATTCTCCATATATTTCACCTATGATAATTAATCAGTGAAGATAAAGTAATTGATAAGTCAATTGAATAAAATGAATTAAACATGAATTCAAAAATATATAATACAAAAATTATTTTCATAGGTTTCAATATTCAGGTAGACTTGTAAATAATTGATGAATAAAAATGAGACAAAATACGTTATCTTTTTTACAATAAATATTCTTCAAACAGTCAATGTGAGAGGGAATGGATATACTACAAGTGCACAAGCACCAAAGTTTAGTTTGCGAGGTGATAGTGACAAATGGGAGTGTATTAGCACTTGCAAGTACAAGCAAATAAATAGATCTACGATCTACTTTTATGACATGTTACTGTATACTAGACTTACTATTTTGTTGATCCCTGATCATCCTATTTCTCTTGCGTTTGGTCAACATATTTTCATTCTATCAGTTTTCCTTGATGTTGTACTTCTATGGATCCTATACAGGTTGTATTATACTCATTTGACTGTTAAGGCCTTGGGCCTCTAGTTAAATATGATTTTGAAACAAATATGGATAGTACATGTAATGCCCAATTCAGCAAGCATTGTATACATTAATAAAATTGTTCTTTGTGTAGATGTGACATTATTAGCAAAACATAAAAATATTTTTTTTAAAGAATATCGAAAATTCATTAATACATCTTTTATTCTGAGAGATTTTTAACAACGATAACAAAGATAACAAAAAGGTGAATATAACGAACAATGATAAATATCGATAATCTAGACGATACAGGGAATAAAACACGCACACCTGGAAATTCCGGAGATGGGATCAGGGGCCTAGTACGAGTAAGCATCCTGTCAACTGAATGCCATGGAACGTAAACATCTTCTGTCAACCGGACAAACCTACAATCTACAATACATTGGCGCTGTGAAAGGGACTGAACACTATACATGTACGAGATGATGGACAGAATGTTACCTTATCAGCTTTATTTTAATTCGAGTCCGTCCTCAATCGTACAGAATCTTTAGTTTTACTATCAAACATATCAAACATACAACACTTGGTAAAATTAATATCAAGAAAAACACGCAATCACCTTGGGTTCTATTATATGTCCATGCATGTGTTTGCTCTGCTCCCAATCTGTATTATTCCAATGGACTTTAGAGCATGATAACTGCTCGTTATCTTCATAGTTCATGTACCGGTCACGATAGCCTAGCAGTAGGACGTTCGTGTCGTGATTTATAGGCCCTTTGTTCGATCCTCGTTTGACGCGCCAAGTCAAATCTAACACTTAATCATAGGTAGTGACTGTTCCTTCGCCATGTGCCCGGTATTAAAAGAGAAAGTTGCGGGTCCTTCGGATGAGGTCTTAAAAACCGAGGTCCAGTGTCAGGGCAGGTTTTGGTATGATAAGAACCCTCATTGCTCAATGGCCTTGAGTGCCGAGCATATGTTTAAATTTGAATCCCATCACCGATAAATGGTAACGTCTCTATATGTGTGAAAATTCTCGAATGGGACTAAGAACAACATACAATCAGTCATATTTCATGTCAAAATGTAAAGATACGGATTCCAATATAAAGTCGCCCTTTTCGAGTTTTTAAGGCATGTTTACAGGTATTTATAGAATATAAATCCTGATAAATTTGAAACTTTTTTTACACAGGGAATTTGTTATCATTTAAGGGAGATCCTTTTTTCAGTAATTCCTCACAAACATTAATTTATTAATATTGATGAAATTTGAAGATAACGAACAGTAATCAAACTCAAAAGTCTATCGGAAAATTTTGGAGAAGAGCAAACACACGAACATCTAAAGACATCAGACGTTGGATCAGGTGCATTGGAGATGTAAGCACCCCCGTCGACCGGACACACCCGAAGTGTGTTTCTTGTCATGATAGGGTAAACGCAAAAATCCGGAGACAATTCAGTGTGAAAAAAGTCCTGACAATATGTATGAAAAAAGACAGCCAACATTTGAATTAACTGTAGATTGTATTTGCTTACAAAGTCATTGCATCAACCATAGAATTTGCGAAATGTTGATTTTAACGGGACTGTTGGTATCCTTGTGTCCTCAATTTATTCGTCAATAGTTTGTCTCGTTTTAGAAACTATAGCAAGCGCCTGCGTACAAGGGCACATTTATGTTAAGGCTGCACTCAGATATCCTACTTGCCTACTTGCCTATACAGTATATTGTAAACTGTATGACGTGAACTTTAGAGATAATGATTTCTTAATATCTATATTTAAAGATGGAATCATTCAAAAACGTAATATAAACTAAATCTTGTCGTTTTGGGGTGTTATTGCATGTAATAGCTTAGTATTCATCACGGAGGTTAAAAACCAAACCCATGACGTCATAACTATGGATCAAATATTTGCTGAGTGAAAATTAAACGTGACGAGAATTCGTGTAAACAAATACATGAAATGGCAGTTTTAAGGCATATACCATGAATGTCGTGTGTGATTAGAGATTAAGAATCAGGTATGCTGATTTGCACTTATCATGTTTTCTTATGATGAACACAGACAGTGTTTTTAAATCCCGATCAGTCTTTCCTCTGTCGTTCTAACAATAAAGATGCAAAAGTTCAATACTACGCCACATACTTTGAAACATAATTTTTGTTTGTATCGAAAGCTTGCATTCTATAGTTCTCGGAAAGTGCTGCTAGAATCGTTTTGGTTAACATGAATTGATCACAATTCCTTGATCGTATGTACAAAATGTGAAAATATTTTTGTAAGGTTTCATGCGAAACTTTGGAATATTTTTTCTGTCTCGGGAGAGTAGTATTCTAGCAGCACTTTGAATGACTCAGTGATGTTTTTACACAATCATTTTCACAAAAAGAAATAAATTATCCCCGGGGTAGTGTTGAACTTTTCAGTTTTCGTTAAGGGAAGTTTTCTATTTATAGACGTCATTTGATGACGTCGTATTGGAGTGCTTCTTTTAGCCTAAGACTCAATGACGTCTATTCAATGAATAATAATACTAAATGTTTTATCTATGGTTTTTCCGATTTATCAATGTTACATTTTACGAAAAAAGTCTAAATTCGCCTAAAAATGATACGGGTACTTCCTTTATATACCTGCATATCGAATCAACTGGGAGACATTAACTCCACGTGCAGGAGATTATGGTATATTGCTACAAAAATAAGGGAAGTTGACGATAGAAAAGCTAAAATCATCCCGTTTATCATAAAGTATTGTTGTAAGTTTGCCATCTATGTCTTTCTCTAGTATAATATTGCTATTATTGGTTTTTTTTTTTATAAAATAATAATTTTATATTACTTATAAGTATTATAAAATTCCCCGCGTGGCGCGGTGGTAGAGTGTCTGCTCTAGAGTCGCGGAGTAATGAGTTGATCTTTTCGTCGCAGGTTCGAATCCCACTATGGGACGTGGAGACAGGTCCTAAAAACCGAAGCTCCCTGTCTGGTGATGCTGGCACGAAAATGATCCCTCACTGCTCAATGGCGCTGAGTGCCGAGCATAGATCAAAAATTGAATTTCTCCACCGGCAAGTAGTAGCGTCTCCATATGAATGAAAATTTCTCGAGAGGGACGTAAAACAACAAACAAACACACAAAAAATAAGAAAACTCCCTATATAAAGTTTAGTAGTAGTTTAATTCTGACTGGAACATAAAAAGGAGCAGCTTTCCCTACACCATGAATTTGAAATAAATTAAATTTTTGAGTCATACATATATGTTTGGTAATATTAATAATTGAATGATTGTATGTTGTTTTACATCTCATTCGAGAACTTTTCACCCGTATAGAGACGCCGCCATATCTATTTAACCGGAGAAGACCTTCAAATTTAGACCTTTACTTAGCACTCAAGGCAATGGAACTGTGAGGGATTTTTATTGTTCCAACGCCTACAGTAACATGAAGCCTCGGTTTTAAAGTCTCGTCCGAAAACCCCGCAACTTATACTTCAAAGTACCGCACGCTTGATAAAGGAACCGTTGCTACCTTTTTTTTTTTTTTAAATCAAATTAGTTTTGTAGCATCAACAATTGTTAGTAATTTGCCAAAGCAAACAACCAAATAAAACCAAAAAAGGAATAATCTTAAAACATGTGGTTGAAACACGATATACAGTGCAGGAAACTAATTTTGTTACAGCATCGATGCTGATTTGAATGCTTCCTTTCCTTGCTGATTTGAATGCTTCCTTTGCTTGCTGATTTAATGCTAGTAATCCTTATCCTGATGCTGTTTTATAATTAGGTCAATGCTACCGGAAGTAGCATCATGCTACCGGAAGTAGATAATGAATTTCAGCATTGCCGTCTAAAGCAATAAAAGTGTCTTTTACAATTATTTGATCATAATATCTCACTATATATCAATAATGTGAATACTTTAACCAATATTCTTTCTTTCTTTTTTAATTTTTTACCGAATTAAAACTCATTGATTTTCTGATGCTAATAGGATAATGCTGATTTTATGTAGGTCAATGCTGGTTTTATCCTTTGCTTGCTGATGCTGATCCTGGTAATGCTGTTTTTTAAATGCTGATGCTGATGCTAGCTCGATCCTGATGCTACTAATGCTTATGCTGATGCTGGTTTATGTAATAAAATTAGTTCCCTGCACTGTATAGACAATGCAAAGAGTAAGCACTTATGCCAGAATAAAACCTATAGAATTACTTTAGTGGAACAAGTATATTACGTATATGCAGCCAATTTTTGCGTCCAACTAGCTCAGCCTCTAATTCTTTATGAATTCTTGGCTGGTTATTAGAATTTAGAAATCAGTGAATAAGATTTGTGGTTTTGAGAATACTTCTTCCAGAGGAAATTAGAGTTGAAGATTTTTCTTTAATAGAATAGCGTCTGACCTTAATTTAAATATGTTTTGCAGAAAAGTCTCCTATAGAAAAAATACACGATTACAGAGAAACATGAGCAGAGTGATGGGATTCGAAAAAGCGATCACTAATCCAAACATGTAGTAAATCACCACACCAATGGAAGTCAGAATTAGGACACCTCCATTGGTGGTCGGCTTTGCTTGTTTTGAACAATTTTTGTTCAAATGATAAATGCATGTAAACAGTCAGAATAGTGTTAAATATGCTCACACACTCGCCAAATTCACGTAGAAGAATAAGGCCATCAAAATTCCAGTCGTAAGCAAAGACGAGCAATACAGACGAAATACATATTGGTATATCGTTGAAAACTCCGAAAACTCCAGTCGTCGCTACACATATATGTCGTCCAATTAGATGAAGTTTTTTTTTGAAGATAGCTTCTGTAATTCAGGCTCGCCTTTAAAGTGTGATTTCGGTGACAATGTTGAAATACAAATTTATAATTGAAAGAGTTAGTGAGCGAGATTTTAAACAAGTAATATGGGTTTATAGCAAAATCATGTACAAGATACAAGATTTTATTAGTCCAGTTTGGTCCCCCGGATGTTCAAAACAGATTTAGAAACATAAAACAAAAGAAGGAGGAGGATCCAAATGATAGGAGAAACCTTTCTTAAATATGATGAAAGCAGTGTTTCATTGTATAATCATTGATAAATGCATCCACAAGAGACATACTAAATATACATATTGTTTATGGTATAATAATACAGGTAAATACTCAATTAACTATATTCTCTGTTAAACCAAAGAATGTGAATTTATATCATAATAATGCTTAACCATAATTGTCGTATTGTTCTATATAGTTTTGATTTGTTTTACTAATATTTAATTTATAAATTACATTTTCAATTTTAATTTGAGAGAAACCTATATCAAATAAATATTTTTAAAAAATTACATGGATAAATATGAGACAATTAATAACTTCATTTAAACTAATAAATTTAAACTCATCTTTTTCCATATCACATCTTCTCAAAGTTGATAGCTTACATTATGAATACACATTTGTTCCCTATTCTTTTTTAAGTTTTATACCCGCTTTCTAAAAATCATTTAGTGATCCTGTATCATTTTATGTGTTTATAAACACGTAGTTATTCCGAGGACGTTCTTAACGTTATCATGAAGCTAGAATAATGACATTTTAAGAAATATACCATTGTTTCAAAGCAATTTTTAATGATACCCAAAATAGATTTAAGTATCGAGATAACGACAGTAATTCAGCTTAAAAGTCCATTGAAACAATACAAATTGGGACCAGAACAAAGACTGGCCTCTAAAAACATCAGAGGTGTGATCAGGTGTCATGGCGGAGTAAGCATCCCCTGTCAACCTGTCACACCCGCGTTGTGCTCATTGTCATGATCGGAAAAACGTAAGTAAAAATCTTTAGATAATTCAGTGTATATATAATGGCCTAACAATTAGTATGATAAGCGTACGTTAGCATTCGACTTAATGATAGATTGTATTTGCTGACAAGGCCATTGTATAGACCATAGAACTTACGAAATGATGACTTCAACGAGGCTGTTGATATCCTTGTTTCATCATCTTGTTGTCAATTGCATGGCTCAATTTAGAAATTAGTCAGACGTGAAGCACATCCACCATCTTGCATATCGAATTACTGGGAGATATAAAATTCATATGCATTTGATAACGGTATGTTGCTACAAAAAAAAGTATAAACAAGTACCTGATTGCAATTCACTTGTCGCTATGACGTAAACGTTGGATAATTTCATGCATTTTACTTGTATTGAAAGGCGCATCAAGTAATTTTTTCACAATGAAGGAAGACATTACCAATTATCAGATCTGAGTAGGGTTGTCACCTGAGGGTGCTTGCGTTGTTGACCATGTTGACCACTCCGGAATGTTCCAGATTTTTTTTTCTTTTTATGTTACGCAATATATATATATATATATATATATATATATATATATATATATATATATATATATATATATATATATATATATATATATATATATATATATATATATATATATGATGAAGCAATACAAACAAATCTCAACAACACAACACCTCATAACACTACATATGGTATTTTTTGTCTCCAAACTTATTCGATATTCCAGAGCAGATCAGATTTTTAACCTGCATATAGAGTGTATGTCCCCCAATTGATTCGAAACACAGTTGCATGTTCTACGTAAAACCATTTCTAAAAGGCACACTATTGACAAATAAGTTGACAATACAGTGGTTTCTCGTTTAAAGTCAACATTTCGCAAAATCTATGGTCGATACAATGATTCAGTTTGTAAATACAATATGTCTGTGACTCTTTCATGCAAATTTTAAGGTCATTTTTTCCACACTGAATGATCTACGGGTTTTTTTACTTCATGAAAACACAGAGCACACATCGGATGTAACCTGAAGGGTTACGCCTCCATGCATATGGTACCTGGCCCAATCTCTGTGTTCTGAGGTCCATGTTGGCATTGTTCATAATTTGTATTGTTTAAATGGACTTATGAGAATGATCACTTTGTTATCGTTACATTTTGTTCCTCTTTACATGTTCAAGTTTCTAAATAACTACTGCTTTTTAAGAAAACACATACAAGTCTTCTAATAATGGAGCACAATTAGCACCCATGAGAAATCCAACAGATTAGTTGTGGACATGTCAAAAGATCACATGGAAGTTGTCAATAAAAAAAAAGAAATAAAAAAAATGGTTTTTAATATCAACCTTGAAGTAGTCAGTAGAATCAGAATTCTTTTTTAAAGAAATATTAAAATCAGTTTGTATATGTCCACTGCCAAGGTATGCAAATTAACCAATTCCATTTTTCTTGATGAAGCAGTTGTCTGTCTTTAACGAGATGAAGTGTATGTTTAGAAAAATAAATGGCAGAAAGTTGCAAATGTCGTTTGCACGATAAAAGAAAATCCTAAAAGCATTACTTCCAAGGACTGATCATACAGTGAATTTATTTTATGAGTCTAATCATCAGCAAAGTCTTTCGTAGTGCTTCATATCCTTTCGAATCATACCATATCGGGAATCTACTACCCGTCACGGCTGACTTGGTGTATTCTCCATTAAGGTTGGATTGGTGACAGCCGGTTTACCACCAGGCTCCGTGATTTAATACAGCACAGTTACCACCGGACCAGTTGACATTATCATCATCTCTAGTTGTAAATTTTATACCATTATGAGGATATATCAAACTGTCACCTGGATTAAAATATTGATAATGTTAGAATTTATTACTTATGGAAACAATGAATTATCTTAACCCAATATCCTCCAATGTAGTTGTGATTTATCTGGATTTTTGTGTAAAATATCTTAATAGCTTTCATTGGTAACAATCAAATGTGAACTTTATACATTTAATAATATATAATACATTCTAGAAAAAAGGCTTGTTTAAAAAAAATTCTGGATTATAATTTATTGTATGTATGTACGAAAGGACGTGTGTAGGTATATTTGATTACAGTATTTAATGATTGGTGATATCAAAAGCCCTAAGGTTTATTTTAAATATTTGAAAGAAAACTGTAAGCGTTAACATGTACACCACAATTAATGATTATTTATTCATAATGCGTTGCGTTTTGAATAAGAAAGAATGAAATTCATTCTGATGTATAGTTTATTTCTTAACGTTAAAATTATGTGTAAAAACGTATAAAGCATGCTTGTTATGTGTGAAGTTTGTAAAGCAACAAATTACCAAAAAAAAAAAAAATTACCCGCGGTTCCTGAATACCCCGACACAGCGAGTCTGTATTTACTGCCTTCATCACCGACATAAAATGTGGAGTACTGAGCGTATGTTTCAATCCTACAAAAACTTTGTAGCTCAACCCGGAGTTCTTGGTTCTTGTTCTTTGTCATCTTGTACATTGCGTCATTTCCTTTTAAGAGAATGCGATAAACGTAGGTCATAATTTATCACTATGTTTATTATTCATACTTTTTAATATGTACATTTTTTTTCAAAACATTTGTTTAGATTATTTCTTTGATTATTGCTATTTCTGACAAATTCTGTTGTTAAACATTCTATATCAACAGGATTTTAGGTGATATTAAGCTGTTTGTTTGAAGAAAAAAAAAAAGGAAAGAATAACATGTAATTAGATGGAATTATTCATTCCTAAGTAAAAATTAACGCAAAATTAGCACACGTTGGATCCTATTAATTTTACTTTTTTCTGCAATTCTGTGGTAAAGGGTAGCTCTTCAACAAAAAATATAAATTTATTCCTCTCTGGAATTGGCATTGAAGAAAAGCAGACAATGTTGCACCAAATAAGTTTTCAAGAGGCCCTGGTTTGGTGAGCTCAATTTGGATGTGATATTGTTTTAGAAATAAATGCAAACTTAATCTTCTTAAAGCTTCATGATTTCATTATCTTAAAAGGTCAAGAAAATGTTAATAGGTTGTTCAATTTAAAATGGAATACCTAAAAGCAGATATTTATGACAAGTCTTGTAAAACCAATCTTTTGCCCTAAAAATAATAAAAAAAAAAAAATTAAAAATGTCCCCTTTCACTCATACTGATCGTTTAACTTAGAGCGTTATTACTAAATGAAAATAAAAGAAGGAATAAAAAAAAATAATGGTCGGATATCTTTTTTGTACTTCGATTCCATTCATCATGTACTATTCTATAGGAATATGGTATTTTACAATGAATAAATAGACGACACTGGAGTTCTTCCTCAAAAAAAAAAGAGAACTACTCGAATACACATCTTGGATATTATATAAATGATGTTAAGGGGTATAAGAGGGAAATAATGTTAAATTCTACAATGAGAATAGAAATCCTACCAATCCAGTAGTTTCTAGAGGGATCCCCAAACCCTTGTTTATATTCTGACCATGTTCTGTAAAAATCTGTAGACCCGTCCTGTCTTCTTTGTATCGCCTTTAACAAATTAATCCATTTTTAAAGCTGAAAATTTACTCAACTAGAGTTAATAAAAACATACTTATGTATCTTTTAAACGAATAGTGACAACTTCAAATCATGAATTCAATATTTTCTTTTGAAAGAAAATTACTTTTAAAGAATTGTTGACTTTGTCCCCTTTTGTAAAACCTCGTTTGGTTTTCCCCCATTTTTGCCCAGTTGTACTCACCGTCCAGCCTCCACCGTCAGTACTCATGTCAGAGTAAACTGACTTAAATGCAGAGGCTACGGATATTCTGTATACTCCATCTCTTCCCTTTAAACTCGGTAATTTCCGTAAAATGTCGAAGCAACTATGGTCATCCTTTGAAAGTGCTGTTTTAGAGCATTGAATTAAATAAACAATATTTAATCAGATATACAAGTGTGTCATTAGTTGATGCAATGTTAATTTTTTTTAATTTTTGAACAATTTGACTTGTACATCATATCAACAGTGTTTAGTTTCTGGCTAAAGCTGAAGCTCTCATGAGGCCTGCTCTATTCATATGCATATTACAAAAAAAATGTCTTAGTTGAATATAAGAAATGAACAAAAAAAGTTCTGAAATAAGTTCAGAGCTTACTGCAGGTGGATTTTATTCATCTGACTATTCTCTGGAAATTACACCTAAACCCACTGAATAATTTAGTCCTGATTATATACTAAAATAATTGTAATAAATTACTAGTAATTGAGCAGCACATAGATTTGATTACGAACTCTGATTAATACATAGGGCTCATGGCGGGTGCAAGCGGTCAATAGGGGATGCATACATCTCCTATCTACCTTATCCCAACTCTGTAATTTCCAGGGGTCAATGTTTTTGCCCTGTTCACTATTCGTTTTGTTTGTACTTTATGTATGTTTTGCTCTGTTCACTATTCGTTTTGTTTGTACTTTATGTATGTTTTGCCCTGTTCATTATTCGTTTTGTTTGTACTTTATGTATGTTTTGCTCTGTTCACTATTCGTTTTGTTTGTACTTTATGTATGTTTTGCCCTGTTCACTATTCGTTTTGTTTGTACTTTATGTATGTTTTGCCCTGTTCACTATTCGTTTTGTTTGTACTTTATGTATGTTTTGCCCTGTTCACTATTCGTTTTGTTTGTACTTTATGTATGTTTTGCCCTGTTCACTATTCGTTTTGTTTGTACTTTATGTATGTTTTTGCCCTGTTCACTATTCGTTTTGTTTGTACTTTATGTATGTTTTTGCCCTGTTCACTATTCGTTTTGTTTGTACTTTATGTATGTTTTTGCCCTGTTCACTATTCGTTTTGTTTGTACTTTATGTATGTTTTGCCCTATTCACTATTCGTTTTATTTGTACTTTATGTATGTTTTTGCCCTGTTCACTATTCGTTTTGTTTGTACTTTATGTATGTTTTGCCCTGTTCACTATTCGTTTTGTTTGTACTTCATGTATGTTTTGCCCTGTTCACTATTCGTTTTGTTTGTACTTTATGTATGTTTTTGCCCTGTTCACTATTCGTTTTGTTTGTACTTTATGTATGTTTTTGCCCTGTTCACTATTCGTTTTGTTTGTACTTCATGTATGACATTGACCATCGTTCATTATCCTCACGTTTTACATACCCTACTTCTAACATAGAAGGACCTATATATTTGTAATGTATTTTCTTTATGTTGGAGTAAATTGGTAAAACCCAAAATGCTAACATATTACATATTACTAACATATTACCCTAACCCTTACCCCTGACATTTACAATCCATAACCTTAGATTTGTTTGTCAACCTTATTTATATACAGATTCATGCCAAAATGAATCAATATCGACATCGCTTGTCGCCTTGTATAATTGTTATACCTCAACTTGAAAATAAAATACAAATCAGGATCGATATCGATGCAGTATATTCATAATATTGTCTATATCGACGATATCGACAGATCACTGAGCTCGAGGCATATATGATATCCAGTATTTTCAATTTTATTGCATTGATCAGGATCGATATCAATATGACATCGACATAATAGTATATAGATCGTCGATATGGACATTAAATTCGTTCTTGGACTTGTAAGATCATTCATCCGGTTTTCTTTCATTTTTGGTCTTTATTTTCGGTCTGAATTAATCAACTACATGTAAGAGGCTTGTTCGAAAAGTACGCCGACTTCTGTCATAATTTCTTTACTAATCGCCATATTATATTAAAAATTGTAGATGTGTTTTAACAGTAAATTCGAATTTTTTCATTAAAGAAATATATATATCCACACTATGTCGTTCGCACGAGTTATTACGTCATTTTCGATACATTCTACCTCATTTGCACCACTTTTTATGCCATTCAAAATATACCTATATATATTACATTGCATAATTTTCCGTATTTATTTCTGAAAACCTATCTCATTCTTTTTTTTCCTTCATTTTTTTTTAAAAAAAAAAGTTGATTCTACTCAAAGCATGCTGATTACTTTGGGAGACATGTTTACCAATGAAAAGCCTGAACATCCCGCTTGTTTGTTATTTAGCTATGGATGTCTATAATCAGTCAAATATCCATATATGAAACAAATGGAAGACAGCCATAAAGGGAAATTACGTTAACAGTTATAACCAATAGTAGCCATTTTGCGATTTTCAATATGTGCTGAGAACACAATAGGCTTAAAAGATAACAATATGCAGGTAAATGTAATGCGGATTTATTGCATTTTAATTGCGTGTTCGTCCAGTGTTGGTCAAAAAGGGCTTAAAGAAGAATATCAAACATTGAGGTTCAAACCTTGGCATCAATCACCCGTTATAAATTTTGTATCATGCACTCTGTTGGAAAGGGGGTCATTTTTGAACGGGGGTCAATTTTTCATAGGACGCACACATAAAAAATGACCCCTAGGTCTCTTTTTCTGCAAAAAATTAATTTTTTTTACGGCTGGGGGTCATTTCTTGTCGTTGAAATATGACCCCCAGTCATTATTCTACGGGGGTCATTATTCGTCTTTACACCTGCACTTCTTCATGAAATTAGTTTTTCAGTTCTGTATGATTAACATCTAACAGACCTATAGTTTTATTCAGAACAACAAATAGTTTTTGAATGTCTGCGTAGGTTATAGCTAACTAATGATATTCCTCTTTGATATCCAAAGTTTGGGTTCTTAGAAAAGATATTTCCGCTTGATTAAACTTTGGAATTTCTTCTTCTGTTAAGTTTCTATTTCCATCCCTTATCCCGAAAACCACACTTAATTTCTCTTTCAGTTTAACATTTTCTTCATTCACTTTTTCGTTTGTAGCCCCCAGATCCTGTAACTCCTTCGCCAATTCGCTAAGCCTGGTCTTTATAACATGCCTATTGTTTTATTGTCGATTGCATCCATCACTAAATCTTGCATGTTTTGTACCATAGAGAAGCGCACCAAACTTTCCTGATTCAGAATGTCCCGTAGGACATTGGACGCTCTATATGTTAAAGTACTAGACAAGAAACCATTTTTATCAGAAGCTTTGTTTTCAAGGAAAGATAAATTGACAAAGGATCCATACATGTACATAGAGAAAATTAAATAAATCGATAGTATATAAAGAGGTTTTATTAATCATTAGTGATTAAGAGATTTAAGAAATTCTGGAGTACCTCCAAAAACCACATATTTTTAAGGAAATGATAGATGTATTATAATACGTCGTCTCTGTTCTTTTATGAAATATATACTGATTGAACACGCAGTACAGTTAAGGTGCCAAATGGATATTTCGGCGATTTTTTTTTATATAAAATGCATACTTTACAAGGATGGGCGATTGTTTTTAGGACTTAACTATTATCGGACAAATATAATATGGTTGAAAACTTAATGTTGAGGACGATTAGATTTCTTATTTAGACTTATCACGTGATGTGTCAGTCACGTGATTTTAGCAAATATTTCTGCAGTATTGAGGTCACCTATAAATTCCAATATTGCAAGGGCATAACCAAGTTAAAAATCTAAGTTTAATTCATAATTATTTTCAACACCCTTTGTAGTTTGTAAAAAGTGCTGCGAACCTATATAGATTCTACTATCTAACTGCTAAAATTACATTTGTTAGACCGTATGTTGGATATTTTGCAGGTCAAGTACATTAAATATAGACATAATTAATTCATTTGCAAGATTTCATCAGATTCGCAGCATTTTTCATATATCTTCATACTTCTTGAGTATATATTTAAAGCTTGTCATAATTCATTGAGGGCATGCCCTTGCAATATATCAATTTATTACGACCCTTCTATTACCCTTCAATGAATCTGCATAAAAATATACAGCAGTATCGCTTTTCTATGGAATTACAGGAAGTATATGATTAAAATCGTAAAATAGACATCGCATCCAAGTTAATGGCCTTTTTTTATATCTGCAAATAATATTTTATTTATTTACAAATACATTTTTAATTGTATAAAATATAACTTGATCCGCTCCTCACGGCATACAAACTGCGTCAAATTTTCCGATATGACGTCACATTGACAAGTGCATTGCGATCAGTGAATTGTTAATATATTGCTGTGAGGGATTAAACCAACATATTGTAATGACATAAGAGCATTGAAACATTTATTTTAACAAATATCATTGTTTGTATAACCAACTTTTTTTATTGACAAAGTCATATTTCTTTACCTCAATATAACGATCGTTATAGGGAAATTTGAATGTAAGGCCAAAATGAAATTACATTTTTAAAAAGATAGGTGTTTCCCATAAGGATGTAACATCCTCATGTTGACTGACTCACCACTAATATGAACGTAGCAGAATTCGTATCTTATTTTTGAATTTGTCGTGTAACACCAAGGCAGATCTGCGTCGAACGTCCTGAAGAAATTTTCATCTGTGCCAGGCCTGTAAATAAAGTAATGTGGATGCGGATATTGCTTGTCCCATCTCTGACATTGTGAGATTGTTGTATTCACTGATCCTGTGTATGGGATACCA